TATGAACATTGGTTTCAAAAACGATACACTGGCAGAGATCCTAAAGAAACAGTTGTCTAGATTCCTGAAGAAGATATTCTTCTCTGCAAAGCTATGGATCAGATTCTCTAGTTATCAATTGATTCTAGGGTGTGTTGAGAATAAGTTACCACTTTTGGTCACCTCAAATATTTGTCTACAAATCTATTTGCTCCTATGGAGCTAGAGTTATATAAGCCGTACAAATCGTACACTTTCTAAACTTATCTCTGAACACTATCCTGTATGCTTGTCTAGGGAAGAATGTAAAAAATCAATTAACAGTTCATTTCTTGAACATACATACAGTGGTCAACCAGTTCTAGTTCAGTTTCATTTACACAGTTAAAGGGAATAGTTGTGCAATCATGATAGAAGCACTGACAATTCATAACTTCAAACCTAACCTCTAAATTCCAGAAGAAGTATATTCAATATTTTATCTTCCTATATTCTTAACACTTTCAAATGGATTATCATTGAAAAGATGAATATAGAAAAGATAAAAGTGAGTTCTCGTTATCTCTTTGGGGAAATTTTCAACTCACTACAAGTCAGATAATGTTATACTGGATTCCGACATATTATACAATAAACATATGTACAAGGGACCTTGACTATTGGATGGATATTTTACACACCTGGATGTCTAATCTAATTTTACTATAAACAAACATGAAACATTTATATTTGTGTGTATCCAGTATGTCTAATAAACTTGTACTAAAAACAGTACAACCAACTGATTAAAGTTTACGTGTTTTTTTTTTTCATCCTAAAATTAAAAATTAGGATGAAGGAAATTTTATTCAGCTAGAGAATTAGACTGTTAGGCTATAAACAACTTGAAAAATTTTAAAACTGAAAACGATGATTTTTTTTTCCTCATTAAATTGATTCAAACAAAAGATTATAAAATATTGGATATTTCAAGTTGTTATTCATCGTAGACTGACATCAGTTGGAGGAACAAAGGAAACCTGGAGCACTGGACAGCTGTTTCGTCCTAGTATGGGACTCCCCAGCAGTGCGCACCCACGACCTACGATGAATAACAACTTGAAATAATTCCAAATCTCCACATCTCCCTCAAAATATTGGATAGTTAACCAGTTAATAATAACATGAGACCTGGTCTTAATGTTACCACAATAAACATTAAAATATTATAGTTCAAGGTGACACAGTCAAATGCATATGATGATAACGATGATGGAGATAAAACGTGTATACATTAGTGGCAATGACATCGATCCGGAACCATACCACCTAGAATTTCTAAACGTCGGTTTTGACTGTTGTTTCAATGGGAGCAACTTAGAAGTATACATCTCTCTAGACGACTAAGGCCGACACTCAAAAGCTTTCTATGCTCAAGTCAATCTTCAGTCTCGCCAGCCTAAACCTTTTTCTATAAGCTAACGCTACTTCTAACATTATTGTGAAATAAGAGAGATAATGACGACGCATACATAAACACATGTCCCAGCCATATAAGTTGCCGGTAATACCACCTAACCGTCTACGAGCCCAACTGACTACGGATGATACGAACATTACGTGCAACGAATCCACTTTAACGCAAATCAGAACGTCAACCATCACAATAACAATACCACCAATGCGCTAACACAAGAAGAGAAGATAGACGGTTGACAGAGAGTTTGTTACTGTCTCAACAACAGTCAGTACAGTTGACAGCGATGCTGAATATATACATTTCTAAATGACCTTGACAACACTAAATCCACATACAGCTAACAACCAATGAGAGTACAGCCTTGAGAGAAGAGGTAAGAAAAACTAGTAACTGTGTGAAAACAGTTATGTAGGTTATTTTAAGGTTATAGGCGAAACAGTAGGCAGAAGCTATGCAAAATTAGTGGTATACAGCAGAACCTTACCAACTGAATTACCTAATTTATTTAAGACCTCCTATTCTAACCATCAAGGATGGTTGTGTGACAAACAGGCAATGCTCATGAAGCAATGTTGGTTGGGCAAGCGAAGTAATTTAATGTGTACCACCCTTAATGATAGTCTTTTATAGTCATAAAGTAGGATAGAACGAAATATTAAACAGTTCACTCAATCAGATGTTGTATCAGTAAGAAAATTGTCGTAAAGTGGTGCATGCCAAAAGAGCCTTTGTGTATGTGTGACGAGATTTCATCGGTCATCAGAACTACTAAAGCTGATCTGACTTCCTAAGTAAGTAAGCTGGCTAAAGCGATCTATCACCTAACTCATTACTATCAGACAAGGTAATCATGAAATTAGTCCTGGAGCAAAACTCTGCATACTGGTGAGAAAAGCATCTTAAGCATTCTCCGCAAGGCAATCAAAGTGTTTAAAAGAGCCTATACTTAGCAGAAATATAAACTCGTGAATTTGTTTCTTTGATATTTCATATAGTGAAGTAGTTACTTACTAATAAAGTTTCGGATACACTTTTTGTTCACAGTCTGTCTGAGTACTCTAAATCTACTGACGAGTCTCTTGCAACGGTGCAGTCTCTGTAAAGTTAGACAAGGAGAACGAAACCTACACAAACACGTCTATGATAAAGTTTCAAAAAGTGGAGACAGTACCTTACCATAGGCTTTAGAATAACTACTGGTCTTCCAGTGAAAAGCGTTCAGTAGTGTAATATATTTACGTGGCAACTCTTTCAGTAATACTGCCAAAGGACTTCTTGATCCGTGGAGTCGAATGCCATCTTTAGGTAACAGCCACCCGTAAGTGTGCCTACGTAGACTTGTTCCATACATTCACAGGGAACTCTGAAACCTGCCAGACTTTCATGGGTTCGCTTCACTTAGGCGTCAAACAATTAAAGAACATCAAGTTGACTCCACTGTGTGCTACCAAGCACCGAAGAGAGAAAGATGTAACTTTCTGCTCTGTTAAGTCTTCCTGCTTCTGTACGGAAGCTGTACACTAAGACGACTACGTCTGAACGTTTGACTTTTATTCGGTAGGTGGCTAGCAGAAATTTTATTATTTTCAAGACTTAATGAAAGTAAGAAGTCTTGAACTGATATGTAATGCAACTTGGAACTGAAATGATCTGAAGTTACAGTCCTAGTAAAGTGTTAAAAATTTGTAAGCGGTTGTTTCATGAAAGCCCATGATTTAGTTCTGCTTGCCGTTGAAATATTATTCATACCCAGATTTATTGCTAAGATAATCTACCAGTAAATTTGAATGGAATGATTTACTACAGAGAAAAAGAAACTTTTGGCTGTAGAATGGTGATACTTTGAAAAAATAAACTGAAAATGCTGCTAACTTTGTTTTCATGACTGATAGCAAGTTTTTGCAGTTGCAAGAAGTCTCATGAGGTTATTTTGTCGCTAATTATACTAAAATAGCTGCTTCTTGACGTGGTGGTCGAACTTGTATATCACAATCATCCAACGAGTTATACTGCTGGAATTTTGTTCTGTCAAGATCCTATCATGCCAGAAAAGTCTGTTGGATAGTGGCAAAATGAAAATCATTAACCGAAGTAGTGTAAATCGCGACACTATGATGAAAGTCTGCGAGTGAGGTTGTGTTGTTGGCTGGAGAGGATGTGATAACTTGGATGACCAGTAGTGCCACGCTGATGCTGCCTTTCTTGTAAGCAGGGCGGGGGGAGTTAGCCCCATAAACAGCAAACTACCCTATGCCCCACTGTCTTCCAATGCTGGTAGTATAGGTTTTCTCTAACCGGTGTTAGAACAGGCTTTAAGTAAACTTCCCATGGCTTCTGAGGTCACATATATGTTCTTCTCTTTCAGCCACCTTCAACCCTTCAACCATCGACTTCCGTTGCCACACGAACCAGAAAGTGAACATTTCACTACACGACTCAGTGTTACAGTCGCAGACATCACGGACTGATGCCATTTAACAGTTAACAATGTGCAAAGAGACAGCGTCTGATTAGGTATATGTAATACATGCCTCAGCCATCAACGAACTGTAAACAAACAGACAGAATCAAGTTAGAACCTCAAACACAACTGCATCGATTCAACTTGCCACAACTCCACAGTGGTAAACAAGGAATAGATGGATAGAAAACAGATTGATATCAAAACAAACAAGGTTATGTGAAGGAATCAACAATCTGAAGATAAAGGTTAGTGCGAATATTGAAGCTTTAAGAGACGTCAAAGACTGAATACAACTGCCCTACTGTGATCGGTTATCAGCCATGTCATCAGGAATCCTCAACCACTGATTCCTATTGTCTCAGAGACCCTAACCAGGTAGTCAGTTCAGATCAACAGCCACACCTCAACGACTGGCACCACTTTTTGCTCTGGCTACCATGAACCCTCCTCCAACTTAATCCAACTTCCTTTAGTATGGCACATTGAGGAAGCGGCGGCTTCACATGCGCGTTACATGTTCAAGCCAACTCAGACGATGAAAGTTCACAACGTCATCAACTGACTACAGCGTCACTCACTTGATGACACCACAATACCCCCATAACTCACCTCTGTTATTCTAAACTGTATGCCCTACTTTACTAAGACAGAAACGATGATACTCTCAAATACGTTTAATCCTATGATGTATATGTGATTCAAATTTGCCTCTTTATAATTTATTCTTTTTTTTAAGTGTACTACTTGCAATCTGTCCATTATACAAAGTTGTATCCGTCTACACTGTTAGATATGTTAGCAATGATAGAGGTAATCCGGCTGGAACAACTGGAGAATAGTATTAAAGAAAATAAACACCTGATGAAGTTGTTACATTTAACTTTAACCTGGAGGTATGGCTCACTAGTTTAGGTAGTCGACTTTCAACCAGTGGGTTACGAGTTCAAACTCGGTTCCATCTACCTAGGTTTGACCAAATAGATAGTACTATCCAACCTTGACCAATAAACGACTCAATGCCTACTGCAAAAATGTGTACATGTTTGCTAAGTACATTTAGTAAATAAAGAAAACATGAAATTAAAAAGAATGATTTACATTGCTCAGTAATTTTGTGCTCAATCGCTCTATGAGATGTAAATTTGCGGGAGCTGTGACACCTCCATTTAGCTCTGAATGATTCCGCATTTCATAGTCATAATCCTTGTCATTCATCAGTCCAGTATTGAATAGTGAATAATCGTCAACATTCACATCATACTCTTCATCAAATAAATCACATACACGAAATGGTGGACCACGTTCTAATATGAATTGATGAAAACGCATACTCGATAAAAGACGATCATAGAATTCATTGTGTGCAGTGTTCCCACGAAGAAGTAGATACAAAGTCTGCAAAGTAAAGGAGACGAAACATATACATGCTTCATTATAATAATAACAAGATAAGAGGGGATTGGAATTTCTGTCATTATTTGGCTGATATATCATATTAAAAACAGGTAAATTGTTGAACCCCAACTACACTCCTTTCTTCACCAATCAATGAGATAATCACAATCTTTTTCACCAGTGACATAAAACTGATACTAGGATTGAATACAACAGAAGTATCAATAGCATTTCATGGAAAACCGATACTAGAAAATTGTGGGTGAAAATATGTTACCTCAAGCTATGGGAAATATGCTTAAACATGATAGCATTCATTGGTATCTGAACCATTCCTGCATTCCCAGCCCACTGACTGCAACATTGGGTGACGTGGGTTCGAATCTCAGGGCAGACATCATTTCATTTGAGGTTGCAGATATGCCTTGCTGACGAGTGTCAACAACCATCAAAGGCTAAGTTCAGGGCTTCCTGTCGATTGCCTCCAACTAACTAACATCTATCGTAGTACCTATATTTCCAAAAAATTTCCCACAATAAAGTGCAAATACGCTTTGACTCGAATCCATCAAGAGACTAAGGGATAAGGTTTTGGCGTTTGAAGCGATAGGTACTGGGCTGGAGTCCCGGTGAGGATATCATCAGTCACTGTGGTGCAGGTAGATACATACAGCTGATGACTCACAAAGAGGACGAAACGCGCGTCCTGGATCCACTGTTTAGCCAGTAAGTAGACTACAACATTTAGCCAACTAGTTCAATTCATATTTCAGTGATAAGGTGAGTAGGTCAATCGACTTGTTTTAATGAGTAAATATCACCTGATTTTCACAAAAATTACAATATTCTACTTGATAATATGTAGATTATGTGACTGGATTGTTAATTCACCCTACTTTTCAATCCTCTCCCTCTCTTCTAGCCTTATCTACACTGCACCGTTTAAATGTAACAAACGCACAACATGTTCACAAAGATTACTAAATGAAACCAATGTCTATGTCAAACATATAAATGTCATAGTTAAAACATTAGGAAACAAATTTATGCACTTTTAACACACAAATACGCATACACACACAACATTTAACTAACGAAAAGTAGTAAAAGCGACAAACAAAAACTAATAATGATGGATTCATTTCAGATTAGTTAGTATTTTCGCACTTCCATAACTCAACTATCTCTCTGAGACATATTTGTACACTGCATAAATGCTACAATATTGTATTCCAAAAAGAATATTTTTGATTACCTAATGATTAATTCAATGATCAAAGTAATAATTCAACAAAAATAATAATTTAGAGGTAGTGTTCATTATTGACTGATATCAATTCAAAAACCATTGAAAATCTGAGAGCACTGGACAGCTGTTTCGTCCTAGTATGGCACTCTTCAGCAGCACGCATCTACGACCCAACTCAGGGTCAAACTCAGGATACCCAATGTTTCACAACGAACGCGTTAGCCATTCACCCACTGTATCGGAGTTTAATGCTTCACAGTTTCGAACTTTTGCCAATTCATGATATATAGCGACACAAGGTTTTCAGTTGGCATCCGCTTTACTACTGATTGGTTGACCCCACAGGTCACGGCTTTTCGTGATATCCATAGAGAGGCATGTTACTAGGGATTTTTATTTTGAGGTAATATTCATCACAGATTGACATCAATTGGAGAATCATTGAAAACTTGGGAGTATTGGACAGCTATTTCGTCATAGGCTGAGACTTCTTATATTGGATTACTGTATGATGCCCATTAGTGACATGCTTCTAGATGGATATCATGAAGTTATAATGAGAAGCTGTTACCTGTAGGGTCAACGAGGTCGAAAGGTGAGCGAATACCAAGTAAAGACTTTAGGTGATAGTCGCACTATATCGCGAATTCGAAACTATGAAGCGTTGAACTCCGACCCAGTGGCTAAATGGTTAACGCATTTGCTATGAAACCTTGGGTATCCTGAGTTCGACCTCTGGAGAGAGGGTTGCAGAATCCTATACCAAGATGAAAAAGCTGCCCAGAGCCCCCATGTTTCCGCTAGTTCTAACTTCTGTTCGTGATGAATACTATCTCGAAATTAAAATCTCTATTAATCTCATAATAAAATTCTCGATAATGTAACAAGATCAAAGCAAAAAAAGTCCACTAAAATTCGTCTTCAACTTCCGACAATTTCAAATGTTGGTAAAAAAAAAAAACAACTTTGGAATGCAGATGAGAAAACCATTAGATATGGCATTATTCATTAAACACCGGCATCCTCAAAAGGAAGTAAATTTTTTCATCATTAAAGTGATCATGATTTCGGCGAAGACAAAGAAGATAAAATGGTTATGTCAATGGTTCCTTGAATGTAATCAGTTCTGCTAATGAAATTTTTCTCAGTTAATCATAAACATAAAAAAATATTATTTATCAATGAAAACACAGTATTATTTTGTGAATGAAATCCATTACCATTATCAACATAGGATCAGGTATTATGGCATAACAGTGTTCAAGTTACTATACTTCATATTAGCACATCAAGCAACAAAGGATTAACATGAGAGAATAATCGATCAAAATGCAGTAGAAAGTAGAAAAAGAGAGAAAAAAGAAAAACATCGAATTCAATATGACGACAATGTACGCCAACGAGATCGATTCTCAGCCACATCACCCGGAACATCAATCCAGAATGCATAAATTTTCTTCCATGAGTCATAAAAAGTCAAAGATTTCATACAGTGATATCATGTTTTGGTCTGACTACCTTAAACCTTTTACCAGCCTAAATCTCCTTTAATCAAAATTTTGAAACCAGATAAACAGTGACTAGGGATGCATGACGCATATCCAAACGACCTCATATGATGAAGGTTGACAACCTCATCAACCGACCATTCTCTCCTGCCTAAAACTTGACATCTGACTTCTGCATTATTGAACTAGTGATACGACTACACGCCGCCTATATTATGAAGGTAACGGTGTTCAATTGCCTGAAGTAATTTCATATCTTCTATCTTTAATAGGCATGTTTCACAGTTATACAGTAAAAGGGAGCGGACTGCAGTGCACTACACTCGACCCTTAAATCGACAATTCGATATCGTGGTGGTGCCATAAATGGGGTGGATTGGAAAAGTCAAGCCGAATCTTTTGTATCCGTGAAAAAATTCCGTCGGAGCTGATCCGACTTCTATAATAAGTGAAGTGTTCAACGCACTCAAACCCTTCACCCCCTAATATTAGCTATTGCACTGCTGAAGACGAGTCTTCGAGCAATAATTTGCAGTTGAGTGGCAAGAAACACATCTCAAACATCGTCAAATTACCACTCAAAGTATTCAGAAGACTCTATATCTTGTCGGGGTCCTCATCTGCCTATAATAATCAAAACTAAACAATAATGTAGGTTGAATGAATCTTTCAGAGTATGATCTCATCAATCAGCACTATCAACATAGGACCAGGCATTACTGAGTAACGATTCGGGTTGCCACACCTCATATCGGTACATCAAGTAAGAAGGCAGTGAGGTGGAAAATGAAAAGAAAACTCAGTCAAAAGAAATACAAAGCATTAAAAGAGAGAAAGGAAGAATGAGAAAATGATGAGATTCACTACAGCGTCGTTAAGGTGAGGATAACGTGTGTATACATCTGCGCCACTGACATCGATTCTCAGCTGTATATCAAAGAGTCTCTAACCACTAGTTCCTTTTGTTCTGCGGACCCCAACCGGCTAGTCTGCATCGCTTACTTGAACTTCAAAAGATGTAATGTACTATGTAAAGCATTCATGAAGTTATCGGTTGAAAGATATATTTATTGTATAAGGGATTCACTATGCTACTGAGATAAAAGTGGAAAGGGTTTCTTACCTGTAAATAAGTGGTGTAAGGTAGAATGTTTACAAAAGTCAGTTATAAATATTACATAAACGTGTAGAAAGTGCTTAACTATACCCTGGTGAGGCTGGAAACAATTCTTCTTATTCTTTATAATAATTAAGAGAAAAGTGAAGCGTAAAGCAAAAGCGGTTATCTTCCTCATGTATCTTGAATATGATGAACAAGAGTAAAATTTTGCAAAGATTGTTATATTAGGCAGTTGAAATGATTAAACTCTAATCTCATACTCAGTGTCATCTGTCAGTGTAATACTAACAACTTTTACTACGGAAACGCATGTAGAAATTCTTTTTTAATCTTGGTAAGCTATATTGATGTCATATAACTGTTAACACCTGTTAAAATCTTAAAGACACGGCTGATAAATGTCAAGATAAACAGGATAGAGGTTTGATATATTTCTTCAACTGTCTACAAGTTTCATAAACTTAATGGAATGAACAATGATGATGAATCATTTTGTCTAGTGAACTTGTGTCTGTACACGTTAGTTAACAGACTATCATCATCAATTGGGAAGTGAAGAACATCTTTAGTTTCTAGTAAATAAAAGTATTCTTCCAATTCTACTTCATTCTAACTAGACATCTATTTGGCGAACTGACAGAAGTAGGAAATATGCACCGGCGAATTCCGCTGAGCTAGTGACTCAGTGGTAACGTACTGGTTACGGAAACTGAGGGTCCTGGGTTCGACCCCTGCTGAGCGACATTATGGGTGCGCACTGTTAAGGAGTCCCATACCAGAACGAAACAGCTGTTCAGTGCTCCCAGATTTCCAGTGTTCCTTCAACTGGTGTCAGTTTATGATGAATAGATTAATTTTTTTTCCAATTTTTAATAACCTTTGGTGATATCAGATGAAGTATTCCTAATTGAGCTACGAGACCTAACTGCTGACCAGATTTTTATTTCACTACAGCCAGTCACCAAAGAGGAATCCTATACTAGGACGAAACACCTGTCCCTTCTCTCACCAAACAGTGTTAGTCCATGATGAACACCAACCTGAAACTAATAAAACCCTAGAAACCTCAAAATTGAAAATTAATGTATTCCAACAGTTACTGTTCACTGAGGTCGAAATAGAT